CAATAGATCCGCGAGAGGCTTGCCATGTCTCCTCTGAGAGGGGTTGCTGGCTGGAAAACAATCTGTCACCCACAAGGTCACAGTAATGCTTTTGAATTGAGACTATTAAGACTGGAGTAAAGGAGGGTTGGTCCGAAAACTGATCCCTAGGGAACACAAAAGACAAAGCGCTATTGAGGGTGAAGGAGAATGCAAAACTCTAACTGGAAATCCAATCCTAAACACGAAACAAGGGATAAACCGCTACTCCTTTTCGAAAGACCTAGAAGGTGTGCAAACCAGACAATATTGACAAATGCATTATTCAAAAGCTTCTCATACATATTTAAAAACTCAGGCAAGGCTAGATACTTCTTCTTACACACACACACACACACACACACACACATATATATATATATATATATATATATATATATATATATGTGTGTGTGTGTGTATGTATATATATATATAATGGTATATTTATGGGGTAAGAGTGCTCAGTGTCAGTGTTACTGATATAATATATATGACATAAAGATTACTTGAAGTTGGAAATGGACGGTTAGCATACATTGTAAATTTCTGTGTCTTTTCTCTATCATTTTCTCTGTTTTTCACTTTCCATATATATATATATATATATATATATATATATACAGAGAAAGAGAGAGAGACTTATAGCAAATGAAATAGGCAGAGAGAGAAAGAGTAAGAGGGACATACAGAAAGAGAGAGAAATCAATAGTTATATAAGTGTATGCATTTATGAATATGTTCATATAAATGTATATCTAAACAATTAAAAATAAATATGTCGTTGGACTGATCAAGAGAGAGAGATAGGAATAAATATCCTTTTACTTTTCTGTTTCTCTATATCTATATATATATATTTGTATGTATTGGACAGCTATATAGATCTCTATTAATACACACACACACACATACACACACACACACATATATATATATATATATATATATATATATATATATATATATATATGTAATTACATATATGAATGAATAAAACCGACACAAATTCACAAAAACATAAAACAATAAGCATCAGTATTTTTACTGGAAACAAAATACAAATGCTTTTCCTCTTTTATCACTTTCTTTCTTTTTTAAACTATTCTCTAAAATCCATTATTCTTTCAAACCCAAGCAAACTTCTGATATAAATTACAAAGTTATAAAAATAATACATCTACCTTATTAATCATTCTTTGCAAGAACACTTTAAAAACATTTCAAAATAAATATTTCACGACTTTATTTATGATCAAGCTTAAAAGTCCTGAACAACACGAATCAAAAACAAAATTTATTGTCTTTTAGTAGATAACAATATTGTTTAGTTTTAAAAGAAGCAAAAAACAAATTAAATATGTTCTTAATTCCTTTACTGATAAACACAGTTTTCCAATCATACAGATTTGACATTTCTACATCTATTGTGTAAAAGCATATTTTTGATGCTTCAGCATGTATTTCTGTATCTCTCTGTCTCTGTCTCTCTCTCTCTCTTCCCCACCCATATTAGTCAACTTATGAAGTGTAGGATTATTTTTCAATCATTTTTAAATTTACTCTTACAGAAATTCAATCCATTTTTTTAAATTTATTGTTTTAACATATACATCTACTTATATATCCATGTATTCATCTTGCAAAAAATGCTCCAAGTCAATAAAGTTTAGCAATAAAATCTGACAATTTCTGCATATTGATATTCTTTTAAAATGACAGAAAGAATTCTAGCAGACTATACAATGTGTGAAATGTAATTTTCTCTTCCATATCAAAACTTTATAAGTTAAGTTACTTTTATTTTAAATATTCAAAATGGCTGCAGAAAAAGCAGAATTTTCCACTTTGGTACTGTTTTCCCATCTTTGAGCTTGAGATTTTTACAAATGATTAAGGGTCATTTTCTTAAAAGGGTTCAGATCATAAAACATGAAACAAAAATAGACCTAATGGGGAGAGTAAAAATCTTGTAAGTAAAATTAGTTACTGCTTTAAAGTGCCTATCCCTACTCCATTGTTATTTCCAAGACAAATGTACAGATGAGCTACATCTCTTGGTTCCACCAGATCAGATCTTTAGAATTAAGACTTGTTTTGCTTCATACACAGGATTGAATCACTCTCATTCCTACTCAGAGAGCTTATTCCCCAGAACTGGTTCAATGTGGGACAGACTTCCAATAGGATGCTTCTCCAATCACTACAATCTTAACCTTTTCTCATCTAGGGTTAACCTTTGTCTATCTTACATATCCTCATAATCTGCACTTACTTCTTCCTCTTACATGCAACAACAAACTCATTCAGTAACCCTTTACCTTGAATGGCTCTTGGGCCTTGTGGATATTTAGTAAAAAAGAAAATTGCACTAAGGAGTATATCCCTAACTCTGAGTTCAAGAGGAACTTGATCTGACACCCAGTCAGTAAAATTTTTATTTATGAATGTGTATACTTATATTGGAATCCATTTTATTTTCATGATAGACATTTTGAAGGAATGATAGTTAACTTTTAGTAAGATTTATGTACCAATATAAAACTACCCTTTCATTAGGAGCCTAGTATATGCCAACTGCATACCTTGAAGAAGATTAAGACCTCCCCACAAATAATGAACTAATATGTGAATACAGGTTGAGGATCCTTTATTCTAAATTCTTGGGACCAGAAATACTTCAGTTCTCAGAATTATTTTAATTTTGAAACACAGGCTATTTAATTTAATATGAAATGGGTCACTTTGGGAATGGAACCCAAGCATAAACATATCACTTTACATTTCATAAAACAGCTTATACATATACACTGAATCTAGTTTTATATAAGCTGCAAATGTTCACTCTGACACTGACAAATCCACTCCATCAATGCACAGTTGAGATCATTATTTTTTGTTTTGTGCTGTTTTTCTATTTTTCATTAATTTCTGTTCATCACTTTCACCATAAAACAATTTCTTCTTCTGTTTCCTTTGGTCATATATGGTGGTTGTTCCAACACCAAACTCCTCAGTCAGATGCTTCACACTTACACCCCTGTCTAGGTTTTCCAACAGTTTGACTTTTGGTGATATTGATAAACATAAATGCTTTCTTTTTTACTTTTAACTATGCATATGGGTATCTGCAGGAGTTTTTGGCATTTTGAATAATATCTTTACTGAGCACAAAACACCTGCTAAGTAATCCGCAAACAGAGGTGTTGCTGTGATGATTGCTAACAAATAAACTGGTGCTAACATAGGCTATGTAGATGGGCTGGGGAACCATTGCCCAGGTCAGATGAGGTCACTTACAACAGCTGCACATCACTTAGGAACCTTCTCAAAATTTTCATTTGTGGCAAGTCAAGTCAGCACCTGAAAAACCTTTGGATTTTGGAGGTTTCCAAATTTTGGAATTTAAGATAAAGGTTACTCAACCTGTATGTGGTCAGGAATAATGAAAACAAATCAAAAGAGGTTGGTATCTTGGTCCCACCCTTTCACTGTCGAAACGGTTAAATGTAACCATCTCTTCTACTCAAATAGCTTCTTCTCTCGCACTTCCTGTCTGTGGAATTCTCTTCCTCTTACTTGCTTCTATAATACAGCTATAATCTTCAAATATTCAAGTGTAATGTCAATCGACATCTTCTGATACCTTGATCTTGTTCCCCTGTCCTTCTCTTTATCCTCTCCCCACTAAAAACCTCTTCCCTCTTGTTCTCTACCCTCTGTAACCCCTTGCATACTAGTAGCACTCTTGCCTTGCTTGGGGTTAAATGCTTTATTAAAAGAAAATTGAGAGCCTAGTGAAGATTGAACTCACTGCAGTAATGATATTAATTATTTCTACAGCAAGGTTCTCCAACTCTTCTTACCATATTTATGTACAATGCAAGAAATTTAGTATTAGAATCAAACAAGTGTGAAATATTTAAATAATTTTGTTTACTTGTATGAAAAAGATCATTATATACAGTAGTTCCATTTTAAAACAATGAAACTCTCAAAGATGAAAAATATTCATAGGTGCAGATAGGTTCACCTATCGCCTGGTTCACCCGACTTCCCAGTCTTTTGAATAGGAGTAAACTTTTGTCCCTCGTTTCTAGTTTAGAATTGGGTTTGCGTTTCATTGTAAAATCTTCTCATTCTCTCTCCCTCCCAGTATCTTGCATCTTAGTGGCATTATTGCCTTACTTCAGGTGAATTGATTAAAAAAAACTTGTGCCAACATAGGCTAAGTAACTGGGCTGAGGAACCTCCATCCAGGTCAGATAAGATCACAGCTGCACATCACCTAGGAACCTTTCCAGTGTTTTTGGAAATTTTCTATTTTTGGCAAGTCATGTCAGCACCTTTCGGATTTTGAATAAAGAATACTCAACCTATATTTACAAACTCAAATGTAAATGACCAATATTTACCTATTCTCAAACCAAATAAATGCTCAAGGACACATGGCACAGTGGATAAAGGCGTTGGTTAGATCCAGTGACAGTAGTGTGAGTTCAATACCTGGTTAAGGCAGTGGAGAACTTTCAGAGGGAAAATTAGCAGGAGATAACTGACATCCATCAAACGTGGAACTAGGACAATCTACCCCAGTGTGCGAAATAAAGGGTTCAGTTCGAAATTCCAACCACCTGAAGAAGGCTGGAGCATACAATGGCTGAAACATTGTGATAAATATGGCGACAATAGTCCAAGTAATGTAAATGCTTTTTATTGATTAGATTCTTTCCCTTTCTATGAATTATCAACTTTTTGCAGATTATTTCATTTATTTATCTAATTTTTAGATTGTAAGAATTTTTTTTTTGTAATACAAGTCTTCTCAATTAATCCACAGCTGGGGACAGAAGAGGTGGATTCATGCCTTTCCCAAGAGTATTTGCATTTAAGTGAATATAACGAATCCAACGGGAATTAAAACATGGCTCTTCAATTAACAATTCTGAGCCATTATCAATTACACCACCTGCACATCCAAGCTTACAGCACCTGGTATTCCTAAGTGGTCACCCATCAGAGTACTGACCAGGCTCGATGTTGCTTAACCTTGGTAATCATATGGGAAGTGGTGTTTGAACATGACGTAGCAATAAGCCTAAATACTATTTAGACAGAAATATAAACAACCAATATTTATGTACACCCAAACAAAGTAAATGTATATAGACTCAAATATAATTTAAAATAAAGCTACTGATTTTGAGATGAAATAACCTAACAAGAGTTGACATGTTGTAAAATCAACCAACCCAACATTCAAGTATACAATTTCAAGTCAAAATAAAAGACAATTTTTCTTTGATATTTAGCAATAGATTTATTAAACAATATAAAATAAATATTGGGAAAGGCCTTTTATATTGTCATGAAATGCAATCCATGGAGAGTCATGGTTGCCTATATCTTGAATGGACATGGCATTAAAACAAAACATCTTCATTTTTCATCAGAGTAACCTTCTTGGAATTTCGGACCAAACCCTTTTTTTTTACAATCTGTTTATTGATTTATTTATATTAAGCTTTGCATTCTTCTTCATTACTGTAATTATCCATGTATAATACACCTTCATCCATAATACACACCCACAAAATCGTGCTGAAAGTGTGGGAAAATGTTTTTACTTATGCATAATATGCATCCCTTGTTTGGTAATCAAACCCTATAAATTGTATCTCTCCAAATTAATTACAGCCAGCATTTCCTACTCTTATTAAAAAATGGTTTTAAGCATAAAATAATATTATTCTAATTTAGTTTTATAATTCTTATTTTATTTTGCATTTGTAAGTATTATTAGGTACATATGATTGTATTTAACATCCTTATGGGGTCACAATCATTGAATGTTAGTATCAAATTGTCATTTGTTTATGGCAATTAGTCATTTCACAACTGAAATCAACCTATGAAATGGCAATTTTTTAAAGATTTTTTTGTAGCTGGGCATAATATGCACCCCTAATTTTGCTTATTATTTTTTTTAGAAAAAAAATGCATATTATAGATGGGGAATTAGGGTAATTTGTTTCTACTTTACACCATTTCCCCACTGAAATTGAGAACATATTTTCCACTAATCCAAAAATTGTATTCAAACCATAATTTAACTAAAGGCATTTAACTACTGCTTTCATACATTAGATCAAATTTTTGGTAGAATTGTCTGGTGAATTTTCTAGGCACCTACCATATCTATCTTTTAGGTAATGGTAAAATGGCAATGAACTGTCAGAGTATTGATGGTTTGACCAATGTAGTATTTGTGGCAACCTTTGCATGTTATATATTAAATTCTCTGAGTTGCACAAAAAGTTATTTTGAATTTTGAATTTGGATCTGTCTTTGATGTGAAGTTCAAGACCTTCTAATAGGCAGCTGCATACTCTGCAATGAGGTTGGTTGCATGTTTTCACCTGAGGCTCTTTAACTGTGGTTTGCACAAGTCAGTATCTTTTTTATTTACTTTGGTTGTCATTGACATTTTATGATTGAGTATATTGTAAAAGGTTTTTCCTTTTTGGTTTTTTAGTAGAATAGGTAGGTTTAATTGTATGTCTGTGTATATTTCTGTGTTCTTTGGGTTGAAAATGGAAACATATGGTATGACCTTTTATTTATTTTTTTCTTTTGTTTTTTGGAGTATGTGGATATTAGTTTGTCTTATTTTTTTAATGCCATTGTCAATTAAATTTTGAGGGAACTTTCTCTTGATGAGTATCTTTTCATCTCTTTTAGTCTGTGGTCTCTTGTTGTTGGGTTTGAGACTTGTACAGATTTGCTTAGCTAGGTTGAGTGAAATGTTGGTACAGTTGTGTTTCAGCTGAGAAGATATAAAAAGGAGATACTCCCAGGAGTCAGTAGGTTTGAAATATATGTTGGTTTCTAGTTTTGGGTTTCTTTTTCTTATTAATATGTCTTTTGTTGCTGTGATCCATAGTAAATTGCATGTTATACATCCATACATTTATATATATATATATATATATATACAAGCTTCATTGAAGATGACTGATAAGATGTGGTGGTTGAGTTTTTTATATAATTTCTCATGTATTTGTATAATTTATTTCTTTTCAGGATATAAATTATACAAAAATTTTCCCAATGTTTTTCAAATGCTTTGAGGTTTACTTTTAGCCATTATCAAGGATGAATTTTATTTTACTTTTAATTGAATATATGTATCATTTTATGTATGTATCTAGAGTTATAGGAATGTTTTATTTTCCAAACACAGTCCACACAGTGTGGCTGTGTTCATAGTTGATATTATTGAGTGTTGGCTTTTTCTTTTTCTTTTTTTATTAATAATGCTTCCATTATTTTTAGCATTTTGTACATGTGTCTGATGCTATTATATTTGCATTATTGATGAGTATATTACAAATCTAGTTTGGTAGGTATCCATGTATATTTAGATAAGACCTAATTGAGTAATGGTCAGAGAGATGAAACTTGAGTCTTCTTGCTAAACATGTTGTAGTATATCCAATATAATTATTTACCAATTTGGATTGGTCAGGAACATGGCTCCTTAAGGGACATGTAAATACATAAATAATATTGGTTCTCTGTAATTTGGATCTGGCAGGAGAATTATTGTTTTTGACAATGAGGTTAGTGGTTTGAATTTTTTTGTAATAAATAATTAATTTAATTGTTTTTTGTGAACTGGAGTTGTGTATTTCTTTATGATATTTCTAAGTGAAGATTTGTCTTGCATATAGTTACTATGCATTTGATTTTTGTAGAAAATGTTAATGTTTTCTTCTGTGTGTTTATATGTGTGTGTGTGTGTGTGTGTGTGTGTGTGTGTGTGTTTTTCTTTTTGACTAAAAGATCTAGCTGATGAGATATTCTTTACAGTAGCAATGTTTTAGTGAGTAGATGAAAAGGTAACAAGCAACACTAAAGTCTATTAAATATAGTATATACCCAAGGAATGCTAATTGTTGTGACAGAAACTGAGTCAAAACAATTTCTTCTAGAATTTTACTGTATTTAAAATTCAAGATATGTCAGCACAAGGAACAGCCCAAGGTGTAAGCTATAAATTGAAAACATCAAAAGCAAGCTCCAGAAGTTTTGAAATTCTGGGTAGTAAAAGGGGACCTAAATGTAATGAAGAGATGCAAAGATGCACTGGAATATAAAAAGATGCCTTCCAGAAACTAAACAAAATATTAATATATATTAGAAAAAAGAAAAGAAAAGAGACATTAGTAAAAAAAAAGAAAAGATTGCTGAACTACTATGTAACATATATATCATTTATTTATAAAGGTAAAAGACAATAGGAAAACTGTATTATTAGCCAACGCGTTTCATCAAATGTGGATTTTTTCAAGGCAATAACAAAATGAAGTTATTAAAATAAAGTAACTATTAACACCAAAACAAAATGTCCTTAGCAACTAGAAGAATTTAGAAAATGCTATTGTATTCATATTGTCAACTGAAAATTACGTCAAGTACTGTCAGGTGTGGAAATATTGTTTTTATTGTTGTGTTGACAGATTCAAGCATTTTCCTTTGATGTCTTGTTACAGTTGTGTAGGTTTGCTTGAGAAAGGTGATATAGGGAAAAAGCCTGGGCATAGATTAATATTTGGATAATATTCAATGACATCACTCTTGAGGATTTCCCTTCTGAGTGAGTTATTTTCCTTTTTTATGAATGTAGCATTTTTAAAATCAAAATTTTGTTTGAATTTATTTCTATGTATGCCAAGTGCATTAGTTAAGTTGTCTTTTGTTAGGTTTCTTTTGTGCTCATAGATGCATTTTTTAGAAATTTCTGCTTGTTTCTCCAAAACTTTTCCTCCCAATATATTTCCCCACAACTGCAAAGGAGACTTGAGTAAACAGATATGCAGTTCCACTGAAGTATGCTAAGAATACTATGGACAGAACATATGAGCAACAAGGAAATTCTAAAGGAAATGGAAACAAAATGGATTCTTGTATTGAGAATCAGAAAGAGACATTGAAATCTAAGATGCATAATGAGGAATGAATGCCAGGAGAATATAACACTCACAAGATATACTGAAAGCAAGATGAGCCAAGGGAAACATTAAGTAGCATAGCTAACGAGTTCATGTAGATGAATGGCAGAAAAGGGACTGGAGGAGATGGTAAGGGGACAAAGGATAAGAAGCTACAAAGGAGAGGAAGCTGTGGAGATCCATGAGGATTTGCAGTCCATAAAAGAAGAATACTCAAGAAAAACTGTTCAGTTTGCTTATATCTTAACTTATACTCTTCCTTTTGAGAGAGAATGATGTGTAGAGACCTGTGTTGATTGATAATAAACTTTTGTAAGTGTTTACCTCCTGCTGCTTTGCAATGAATTAATAAAGAGTTTGGTTTTTATATGAAAACTAGAAAAGACAGATATTTGGAAAAATGCCTCAGGTGTACAAAAGCCACTGCAGATAAATAAATAAATAACATATAAAATTTAAAACTAAAACTGTTTTATTCTTTGATTATTTTTTCTTTACATTTTTTTTCAAAATTCAAAATGAATTATAATGAATTCAAGATTTGCACATCTATGAATGAAATATTCAAATAAACTGAATTTAAGTCTAAAAATAAGCTAAAAAAAAAAACTCTTAAAAAGCTTTATGCATTTATTCAATTTTAGTGGTTCGCTGAATAGATGTCCTCTTGATTTTTGCTATTTAAATTATTTTATTTTTGCATATAAAAAAGGTTTATGCTCTGATTTATCAAAATATTAATGTCCTCAAGGCACAAGAAACCAGAGGGAAATAAAAGCAATATTTTCCTCTATTTTTGGCTTAGCATATTGTCATTTTCTACAGTGCTGTGATAATTATTTAGTTGTTTTAATAATACATAAATATTCTATCAGTAATGCTTGCATTAATTCCTGATGCCCAACAATCCTTGTCAAAGTTTTCTGTCTGTTGTAGCTCTAAATTTTGTCTCCTTACCATTCCTTACCATTCCTTCTCTGCCATCCATTTACCCAAACTCATTAGATAGTTTACTTGCTGTCACCCACTGCTCTTCTTGACATCAGTACGTTTTATAAGTGTTAA